GTGCTCTTGTGCTCTTTTTTCTCTTTGTGCTCTTTATGGTCTCTTTCTCTTTGTGCTCTTGGGGCTCTGTATGCTCTCGTGCTGTCGTGCTCTTGTGTCCTTCATGCTCTCGTGCTCTCGTGCTCTTGTGTCCTTTATTATGCTCTTGTGCTTCCGTGCTCTTTGTGCTCTTTATGCTCTCGTGCTACTTGTGCTATTTGTGCTCTCGTGCTCTTTGTGCTCTTTATGCTCTCGCGCTCTCGTGCTTTTGTGTCCTTTATGCTTTCGTGCTCTCGTGCTCTTTGTGCTCTTTATGCTTTTGTGCTCTTTGTGCTCTTTGTGCTCTCGTGCTCTCGTGCTTTTTATGCTCTCGTGCTCTTTTGTGCTGTTTGTGCTCTCGTGCTCTCGTGCTTTTTATGCTCTCGTGCTCTTTGCGCTCTTTGTGCTCTTTATGCTCTCGCGCTCTCGTGCTCTTGTGTCCTTTATGCTCTCGTGCTTTCGGTGCTCTTTGTGCTCTTTATGCTTTCCTGGTCTTGTGCTCTTTGTGCTCTTGTGTCCTTTATGCTTTCGTGCTCTTTATGCTCTCGTGCTCTTATGCTGTTGTGTGCTTGTGCTCTTGTGTCCTTTATGCTTTCGTGCTCTTGTGCTCTCGTGCTCTTGTACTGTTGTGTTTTTGTGCTCTTGTGCTCTTGTGTCCTTTTTGCTCTCGTGCTCTCGTGCCCTTGGGTCCTTTATGCTCTCGTGCTCTTGTGCTCTTGTGTCCTTTATGCTCCCGTTCTCTTGTGCTCTTGTTTTTTGTGTTCTTCATGCTCTTGTGCTCTTGTGCTATTGTGCTCTTGTGCTCTTGTGTTCTTGTGTTCTTGTGTTGTTGTGCTCTTGTGCTCTTGTGTCCTTTATGCTCTTTTGCTCTTGTGTGCTTGATGATTTCGTGCTCTTGTGCTCTTGTGCTGTTGTGTCCTTTATGCTCTTGTGCTCTTGCGTCCTTTATGCTCTCGTGCTCTCGTGCTCTCGTGCTCTTGTGCTCTTGTGTTTTTGTGCTCTTATGCTCTTGTGTCCTTTTTGCTCTTATGCTCTTTTGCTCCTATGCTCTTGTGCCCTGATGCTCTTGTGCTCTCGTTCTCTTGTGCTCCTCTGCTCTTGTGCTCTGGTGTCCTTTTTGCTCTCGTGCTCTTGTGCTCTTGTGTCCTTGTTGCTCTCGTGGTGTTGTGCTCTTGTGCTCTTGTGTTCTTATATCCTTTATGCTCCCGTGCTCTTGTGCGCTTCTGCCCTGGTCCTCATATGCTCTCATGCTCTTGTGTTCTTGTGCTCTTGTGCTCTCGTGCTCTGGTGCTCTTGTGTCCTTTATGCTCTTGTGCTCTGGTGCTCTTGTGCTCTTATGCTCTCGTGCTCTATGTGCTCTTGTGTCCTCTATGCTCTAGTGCTTTTGTGCTCTTGTGCTCTTGTGCTCTCGTGCTCTGGTGCTCTTGTGTCCTTTATGCTCTTGTGCTCTTGTGCTGTTGTGTCCTTTATTCTTTCGTGCTCTTGTGCTCTTGTGCTCTTGTTCTGTTGAGCTCTTGTGGTCTTGTGTCCAGTATGCTCTCGTGCTCTTTATGCTCGCCTGCTCTTATGCTCTTGTGTTCTTGTGCTCTTGTGTCCTTTATGCTTTCGTGCTCTTGTGCTCTTGTGTCCTTTGTGCTCTCGTGCTCTTGTGCTCTTGTGCTCTTGTGCTCTTATGCCCTGATGCTCTTCTGCTGTCGTGCTCTTGTTCTCTTGTGCTCTTGTGTGCTTTATGCTCTTGTGCTCTTGCGCTCTTGTGGTCTTTTGTTCTTGTGTCCTTTATGCTCTCGTGAATTATGCTCTCGTGCGCTTCTGCCCTGATGCTCTTATGCTCTCGTGCTCTTGTGCTCTTGTGTTCTTTATGCTCTTGTTCTCTTGTGCTCTTGTGCTCTTATGCTCTCGTGCTTTCGTACTCTTGTGCGCTTCTGCCCTGATGCTCTTGTGCTCTCGTGCTCTCGTGCTCTTGCGCGCGTGTGCTTTATGCTCTTGTGCTCTTGTGCCCTCATGCTCTTATGCTCTCGCGCTCTTGTGCTCTTTTGCCCTGATGCTCTTGTGCTCTTGTGCCCTGATGGTTTTATGCTCTCGTGCTCTTGTGCTCTTATGCCCTGATGCTCTTATGCTTGTGCTCTTATGCCCTGATGCTCTTCTGCTCTTGTGCTCTTATGCCCTGATGCTCTTATGCTCTCGTGCTCTTGTGCTCGTGTCCTTTATGCTCTTGTGTTCTTGTGCTCTTATGCCCTGATGCTCTTGTGCTCTTATGCTCTTGTGCTCTTGTGTGCTCTTGTGCTCTTATGCCCTGACGCTCTTCTGCCCTGATGCTGTCATGCTCTCGTGCTCTTGTGCTCGTGTCCTTTATGCTTTTGCGGTCTTGTGCTCTTGTGCTCTTGTGTTCTGATGCTCTTATGCTCTTGTGCTCTTGTGCTCTCGTGCTCTTGTGCTCGTGTCCTTTGTACTCCTGTGTTCTTGTGCGTTTATGCTTTTGTGCTTTTGTGTTCTTATGCACTGATGCTCTTGAGTTCTTGTGCTCTTATGCTCTTGTTCTCTTGTTCTCTCATGCTCTTGTGCTCTTGTGCTCTTGTGCCCTGATGCTCTTTTGCTCTTGTGCTCTTGTGCCCGTGTCCTTTTTGCTCTCGTGCTCTTGTGCTCTTGTGCTCTTATGCCCTGATGCTCTTATGCTCTTGTGCTCCTATGCCCTGATGCTCTTATGCTCTCGCGCTCTTGTTCTAGTGTTCTTTATGCTCTTGTGTTCTTGTGCTCTTATGCTCTTATGCTTTTTGCTCTTGTGTTCAAGAGCACAAGAGCACAAGAGCATAAGAGCACAAGAGCATAACAGCATAGGAGCACAAGAGCATAAGAGCATAACATCATGAGAGCATAAGAGCACCAGATCACAAGAGCACAAGGACATAAACACATAAGAGCATACGAGCATTAAATCACAAGAGCTTATGTTCTTATGCTCTTATGCTCTTATGTTCTTACGCTCTTATGCTTTTGTGCTCTTGTGCTCTTGTGCTGTTGTGTCCTTATGCTTTTATGCTCTGATGCTTATTCCTTTGTGCTCTTGTGCACTCGTGCTCTTATGCTCTTTTGCTCTTATGATGCTGTGCTCTTGTGCTCTTATGCTCTTATGCTCCTCTTGTGCTCTTGTTCTCTTCTGGTTTTATGCTCTTGTTCTTTTATGCTCTTGTTCTCTTATGCTCTTATGCTTTTATGCTTTTATGCTTATGCTCTCATTCTCCGGTGCTCTTACGCTGTTATGGTCTTAGGTTTTTGTGCTCTTATGCTTATGCTCTTGTGTTTTTTTCTCTTGTGCTCTTGTGCTTTCGTGCTGTTGTCCTTCATGCTTTTGTGCTCTTGTGCTTTAATGCGTATACTCTTGCGCTCTTATGCCCCCATGCATGTTCTCCTGTGCACTTATGCTTTTATGCTTTTTTGCTCTTATGCTCTTGTACTCTTGTGCTCTTATGCTCTTACGCTCTTATGCTCTTGTGCTCTTATGATATTCTCTTATGCTCTTATGCTATTATGCTCTGATGCTCTTATGCTCTGATGCTTTCATGCTCTTATGCTCCTATGCTCTTATGCTCTTATGCTCTTATGCTCTTTGGCTCTTATGATGCCGTGCTTTTGTATGTTCGTGTTTTGTGCTCTTATGCTGCTTATGCTCTTCTGATTTTGTGGTCTTGTGCTCTTACGCTTATGCTCGTGTGCGTCTATGCACTTATGCTTATGCTCTTGTGGTTTTATACTCTTATGCCTATGCTCTTGTGCTTTGAGCTCTTGTGCTCATATGCTCTTATGCGCTTACGCTCTTTTGCTCTTATGCTGATGCTCTTGTGCTGTTGTGATCCTAGGCTCTTGTGCTCTTGCGCTCTCGTGCTATGTGTTGTTCTCTGCTACGCTACGCTACGCTCGTATGCTCGTTTTCTTCTTGTTTCTTTGCTGAGGGTCCTCTCCGGTTTGTGGCAAACGGGCCAAACAGTGCGTTTAGCAGCACAATGCTCGCCTGGTATGTCCCGGAAGCAAACAGTGCGCGGCGCTTCAGCATTAATCTGCGCGCAAACTCTGGAGCTGTTGGCAGGGAGTGAAGGGATGCACGGTTTCTTTGCAGCTTTCGGCGGAGCACCTGCTGCTAGAAGTGTTCGGTACGTCTGATGCTGCAAATGCTGCATATCAAGTCAGACATGTTTTCGTGACTTGCGGTTTGTTTGTCTGGATCTGGGAAGCCTTTTTCCAGGCGAGGCAAGGTTCTTCACAAGCTGTTGGTACTGGTCATGCAGTTGACAGTTCCGACAGGATGAGAACGACACGTCCAATTATGAGGACTGGGAACATGCGGGAAAGAAATACGAGAAACGAGAAACACATAAACAGTTTTTCGCTTTTGTTTGTTCGGTTTTTGTTTGTTCTTCTTGTTTTCCAGGTCTCACGTGTATCCCATGTTCATGTTCTTCATTCGTTTCATGTTTCGTCTTGCTGTCCAGGACATCCCGGACTCCAAAGACCTACCTCCGGCGGTCGGAGCTTCCCAAGATCCCTTCGTGGATTGGTGAAATGAGAGATACTGACCAGTGAGAGCGAGGTAAGATAATTGAGCGAAAGTTGAGAATGAGAAGAATGAGAGACGCGAAAGACAGGAAAGAAGAGTGGAGAGGCAAGAGAAGAAAGTGATGTTGCAAACGACCGATGAGAAAGCAGGAGATGTGATGAAAACGAAGATGAGAGGAATGAGAAAGAGGAACTTGGTTAGAGAAGAGAGCGGACGAGCAAGAATGCGAGTAGATGCAAAAGACTGCAATGCAGCAGAAGGCACTTGAGAGAAGCCAGTTCGTTTCACACCGTTGACTCTGCTGATGCACAAAAAGCAAGCTTCTTGCAAAATCAATTGAGCGGGCGGCGTTGGGCAAATGAGACTTGTCGAGTTAGCTCCAGACGCGGGCTCAAGGGGCTCAAGGGTCACGACTCACGGTCGCTGACGGGTCATGGTCCGGCACTTGGCTTTGGCGAGCGAGCGAGGGAACGAAAAGGAAAAAGGAAGGCCGAGGCTTCTCTCTCCGAGCCCTGAGCTCTTGAGCTCTGAGGCGCAGCAGGTGCAGCTCGCAGACTTCGAGATGGGCCGCACGTTGGGCTGCGGCTCCTTCGGGCGCGTGAAGTTCGCCAAGTACAAACCCGACGGGAAGTTCTACGCCGTGAAGACGGGGCCCAAGTGCCCAAGCTCGGCCCAAGCTCGGCCGTTCGGCCGTTCGGTTCGGCCGAAGCCTTCGACCCGAGGTTCATGAAGAAGCACGAGATCATCAAGTTGAAGCAGGCGCTCGCTCTCGCTGCTCTCGCTGCTCTCGCTGCTCTCGCTGCTCTCGCTGCTCTCGCTGCTCTCGCTGCTCTCGCCGCTGTGCTTGTGCCGTGCAGGTGGACCATATCAACAACGAAAAGAGGTTGATGGCGCAGATCTCGTACCCCTTCGTCGTGAACATGTGCGGTCTCAGAGCCGCCGGGTTTCGCGAGAAGAACACTCTTGCTAAGGATGGGCTATTGCAAGGATGAGCACTTTGTGTACATCGCCACTCGAGCTGCAAGCGCATTGCACATCGGGTGTTTGCATTTCGTTAGGTCATGGAGTCGATCAATGGCGGCGAGCTGTTCACTCATTTGCGGCGTGCACGAAAGTTCTCAGATGAGCAGTCAAAGTTCTACGCCCTGCAGGTGGGAACTCGGAACTCACTCGGACTCGCTCGGACTCGCTCGGACTCGCTCGGACTCGCTCGGACTCGCTCGGACTTGCTTGACGCTCAAGCCTTTTAAGTTTTGGGATCCCGAGGTGGCAGCAGCTTTCGCACACATCCACAGCAAGAACATCATCCACCGTGACCTGAAACCTGAAAACATATTGATGCTACCCAACGGCTACTCGAAGCTGACCGACTTTGGTTTTGCCAAGATTATCGAGCCAGGACGGCGCAAGCAAAAAATACCCTTTTCAGCTCTTCCGTTGTCCTTGTGTTTGTCTTTTGCCTCTCTGCAGGAACTCGGACTTACACTTTGTGCGGCACCCCCGAGTACATAGCGCCAGAGGACGCAAGCAGTGCGTGAGTGAACGGAGCACGAACGACGGGAATCCGGGAGCATAGCGGGAGCATAGCGAGAGAGAGAGTGGGAGACCGCGTGGGCCGCTCCCGCAGGTTTTGCTGAACAAAGGGCACGGCAAGCCTGTGGACTGGCGGGCACTGCCATTTGCATTTGCTCTTTGAACTTGTTGTGTTTGCTTGTTGCGTTCAACTTGCATGTAGGTGGACTCTGGGCATCCTGATTTATGAGATGATCTGCGGGCAGCCCCCCTTCTGCGACGAGGACCCCATGGGCATCTACCAGAAGATCTTGGCCGGCAAAGTCTACTTCCCCAAATATTTCGACAAGAATGCCAAGGTGTGGGGAGCGTCCGAGGGTCCGAGGGTCCGAGGGTCCGAGGGTCCGAGGGTCCGAGGGTCCGAGGGTCCGAGGGTCCGAGGGTCCGAGGGTCCGAGGGTCCGAAGGTCCGAGGGTCGGGTCCGGTCGGATTTTCCGGTCCGATTCGATCCGATCCGATCCGAAGGCACTGGTCAAGAAGCTCCTGGTGGCCGACTTGAGCAAACGATTCGGGAACCTGAAAGATGGCTCCGCAGACATTCTGAAGCACAAGTGGTTCGAGTCCTATGAGCTCTCCAAATTGGAGGCTTTCGAGGTCCCTGCCCCATACAAGCCCAGCATGAAGGACTGGCCGATTTTCACCTTGCAACACTCATGCTTATGTGTGATTAGCCATGATTCATTTCATCAACAGGGATGTCGCGGTAGTGACTGACCTGTGATGTTTGGCTCAAGTTTGCGGGTCCGTCGCGCCTCGGATGAGCGTCGCCGGGTCCCCGCGTCGATCACCTTCGTGTCGGTGGAGAAAGAGACATCGGCCCGGGGCAGATTGGTGGGGTCCGCCCGTGCGGTTCATCGTCGACCAAGGTTGCGGGTACTTGTTCACTTGTTTTGGTATTTCCCTTTTGGTTGTTGTTCTCTGGTGTGTGGGAAACCCTGATCTTTGGGACCGGGGATTGGTTTGCTTTTGGGGAACCCTTCTTTTGTGGCTTGTTTACCCCAACTTACCCATTGCCTGGGCACAGGCTCGTGCCCGAATCACAGGTTATCAGCCGTAGGACTTTCCTACGCGCTTGAGACCATCAACTACAAGCTCTATGTCGACCCCACGATCCCGAAGGAGCGTCGTGGATGAGGAGGCCATCCTAGGTGGCCTCCGCTCAGGTGAGGACCTACCGGACTATGACTACGAGGATTTCGAAGGGGAGACGATCGTATTTTCCGTCAGGCCACTGATGACGAGCAGGCACAAAGAGTTCGCTCCGATAGGAGCGGCTCTGAGTCAGGTCGCAGGCGCGGACAGTTCGACTTCATCAGCATGGCGATGAACATGGCCCGCCCTCATTCGGACGACCCGGAGGCCATGCCGACCCGACCCCCAAGATCTCTCATTCCAGGTGAATCGCAGGTCTCGGATGCGTTTGAGGACAGGCCGCAGGGACCAGGGACTATGGTTTTGGCTCCGAGAGATATCTCGGGTCGATCCACTGGTTCTCAAAATCCAGGTCAGTTTGATGAGCACGAGGAGCGGAAATTCACAGGCTTCGGATACGATGCTCTGTTGAAATCAACCGCAGGCTGGGGCAGTAGCTCAAAGCAGGGGTCTGATGCCGATAGGCCCAACCCTAATACTGCCAAGTCTGAGTTTGATAATGGCGAAGATTACAATTTTGCGGATGAGGAGGAGGACCATTCGCGCCGAAATGCGGGCAACCGTGCTGCTGCAAGGCCTAGCCCTGCCGCTGCCAAATTTGAGTTCAATGATGATGATGAATATGCCGCATTTGCGGATCGTCGTGATGAGGAAGAGGACCAATCACGCCGAAATGCTAGGAGCCGTGCTGCTGCGAGGCCCAGGAGCCTCCCTCGTGGAGCCGCCAGGGACCTTCGTGTTGATAGGGACGCCCAAAGCGAGAGAGAGAGAGGCCAGGGATAGTCGGGAAGTTCTTCGGGGATTGGAGGCCATCCATGACCGGGAGGGACCGATAGATCCTCCAGTGGTTGGTGATACCCCGAACGTTCCCCCTTTTCCCAACATTACATTTGAAGGTCCGTTGAATTGGAGAGACGAGAACTCGAACCGGGTTACTGGTTCGCCGAGGATCACTGAACGGGCTGCCGATGTCGTTAGGACAGGTGCCAGAGATGGTCGACTTGCCGATGCACTTGGAATCGAAGATCGTCCGTCGATCGCCAGCCCGTTAGGGCGAGATCCCAGCGACCTTGAAACGCTAAGGTCTAGCAACGAGTTCACACCTCAATGGGGTTCGACCGCCAGGGAACGTAGTGCTTCCTCGAAGAGGCCGTCGCCCCTGGCCATTGAGACCGATAGGTCAAAGGCGAGGAGGGCTAGCCCTTCACCGTTAGGTTCAACCCAGCAGGATGAGGAAATGTTCGACCCTGCTGATGTTCATATCCACTCTACTCCAGAGTCTCGTGCATCTAATGTTGATCCCCGACTGGCGATAGCCGGAGAAGGGGATCAACCCCGAGTAGGCCATCCAGGATTGATGATCGTCCTGTAGGCGACCCCAGAAGGTATGCCAGAGCTAGTGGGGCTCCTGAGAGGATCGAGATATCGTCCAGCCCACAGATCCCATTCTTCCGGTGAGTCAGGTGACGCTAGGGCAAAGGAGGTGTTTGATTTGCACATCCAGGAGATGCTCGAGAGGGGTGAGGTGTCTGGTTCAGTCGCGAAGGCGTTCCATACAAATCAGGTTACTGAACGGTCAGGTGGGTTCCATGCGAAAGGAGTGGAGCGACGAGAATCAGCAGACGAAGGACAGGGTCAGTCGTTTGGCTACTGAGATTGCGACTCAGTCTGATGCCGATAGGATGCGAATGATAGTTCAGCGGTTTGCCGGCGAAGTTATCCCTGACAGCAAGGCCATTGTGAGGCAAGCCATTGACGAACAGGCTGAGATTGTGGATCAGAGGATCAATCTGCTTTCCCGCGGAGTTCATGAATCCGTTAAGGAAAATGAAATCGCAAATAGCCAACTTCGTCAGGTCATTCAGGAAAATCATCAGGCCATCCGCAGGAGCCATGCTGCCTCTGAGGATGAGATCCTTAAAGACTTGGACAAGATTGAGAAGCGACTCTTCAAAATAGAGAAAGCCATTGGGATGCGGACGCCGGCAGGTGATCTGACTGCGCAATTGCCCGATAGGGCTGCCAGCAGTGGGGCGGACGCGAATCTCAGGGAACTAAACCTGAGGCTCAAGAAGATCCTTGCTGAGCACGAGAAGTTTGCTAAGTGGGCCTCCGAATCCATTGGTGGCATCAATGAGGAACAGATTCCCCGCAGGACTGGCATGAAGCAATTGACGAGGTCAATCAGAAGATCCAGGATCAATCTCGCGGATTTCACCGTCAACGTCGGAATCATGACGATGTCATTGCGAGGTTTGAGACCGTGAAGTCCCCCCCCATGTTGAGCAGTACGAGGCGAGATCGGGAATTCTGAATCAGGTTCTTGATGATATCAGAAGGCAGATCCGTAATCTCCCAGCAACGGCCTGATCGAGAACAAGGTCAAGCTTGTTCTCCATGGGGCACGTGTGCTTTTGCGTCAAGCTGGATTTGAACCTCGATGGTGGCCATTTGCCGTTAGGCATTTCTCCATTGAGAATCGAGGCGACGGATCACCTTGGATGCGACGCCACGGTGACGGGAACTTCAGCGGAGTCATTCTGCCGTTTGGCTGTCTGGTCGACTTCTACCCCAGGGATAGAAAGGGGGGGTTCAAAACGCCCAAAACGACTTCAGACACGCTGGAAAGATTAACTCAGAGGACGTTGATGAAGGAGGAGACCACTGGATCGCAAATGAAGACGAGAAGGCTCTCACTCGCGTCCACGTTGAAGCGCGGACTGAGCTGTTTATCCCAATAGGGGCAAACTGTCCAGTCAAGATTAAAGACCTTGGTAGAAGGCGAAGCACAGTTCTCAACTACCTTGACGGGTCAACGGAGTTCGTTGTTGACGAGAACTGGCTTCAGGCCGAAAACGACCGTGGAGGTAACCACGAGTGGACTGGAGAAACTCATGTCGACTGTGACTTTGATCAGATCGATGAGGATGAGGCCGAGATCTACGAGAACGAGGAGTACGAACCAAAGTGCAATGACGAACCGGACTTTGTCCCCACTGATGAGGTAGAGGTTGAAGAGACGAGTGTCACTACTGCCCTGCCCGCCGAGAAGAAAGAGCGGGACTTCATCAAAATTGAGGAAGATCCAAAGTTCGCCCCATCATCCAAGCCAGGCCTATTTCTGGGTTACCGGTTAGAACCAGGGGGGCTATGGAAGGGCGACTATCTCGTCGCTGACCTCGAGCACATCCAAAGAGGCCTCAGGAAACCAAGTATACACCAGGTCAAGCGTATCTGGAAGAACCCTGAGGAGCCCTACGTGTTCCCGATGTTGGCATCCTATGATGCTAGGACTCGGACCATTCGTAAGCCGAGTAAGAAGATCAGGGATGAATTCGACTTTGATGAAGGTCGGGTTGATGATCCTGATGATGATGATGATGATGACGATGACCAGCAGGACAAGGGGGGCGGTAGCTCTTCCAAGTCTGATGGGGCCATTCATAGCAAGGCTGTCCAAGGAGGTGGTGACGCATGCGTCTCAGATTACTGGGAGCGGCACGACGAGGACAGTGCCTGGTATCGCATCCACGTCGAGGTGCGAAAGAAGTTCTTCGGGACGACGAACGAGGACCTTCCTCCAGGTGGTCCTTCGCATGAGGAGCTTGACACCGTTAGGGTCACGCACATGCGGGGGCTTGACGCCGTTGGAAATTGGGTAAGAGATGACCGTCGTCACGATGCTCCCAACCATCGGCATTTCACACGTGGATTTTGGACTGGCGTGACCATCCTATTTGATAAGGGATGTGCTCCCCACGGTAGGTTCAAGCCGAAGGAAGAAGGAGTCAAACCTGCCGCAGATCCGAAGAAGGGTCATAAGCTGCACGGAGACAAGATCGACTATGGCCAATCCGCCGATAGGCGTGAGCGGCCATACGCAGGCACCGGAAAGCCCAACTCAATTGATGCGGATAGTTGGAGACAGATGTGGTCTCGGGAGATATATGTTCAAACCGAACGGGAGTTATCCCTAAGGGAAGAACGACGCCGCGAGCACCCTGAGAGGGACCCGGCTGTGTGGAGGCGATGCAATTCGCGTTCACGTTGGCTCATTTGACATCACCAAAGCCAAAGACGTTAGTCGGCTTATTGAGATCATCGAGGATAACCCTGGGTGTGACCTCTGGGCGTCAATTCCGTGCGGACTGTGGAGTACATGGCAGTATGTCAACCTTTCAATCCACGGTGCTGAGTCTGAGAAGAAATTCTCAGGTAATGTTTGCGGCATTCCTGCGGGCCTCCCGAGCCATTAGGCGAGGAGGAGGCAGGGTTGCATTTGAGTGGCCTAGACACTGTCTTGGGTGGAAGCGACCGTTCATGCAGAAATTTCTTGCTGATCCTGATGTCGAGACCGTAGATTTTGACGGCTGTGATTTCGGGATGCAGGATAAGGACGGTGTGCCGATCAGGAAGCAGTGGAAGGTTGCAACGACCTCCAGTCAGGTCGGAGATGCAAGCACGAGAAGGGA